TAAATTTCAGGTGTCCATCATTATATTTCAGCTTCTGTATAGATGGCATCATGTTCACAACCAAAGGTCTAGTTTTCATCTGTCACCATACATATGTGCCCCTTTACATTTTTTGCCCTCACCCCATCTCCTTCCCCTCTGGTAACCATAAACCTGTTTTCCATGTCTATGTGTTTGTTTGTTTATCATCCACATATGAGTGAAATCACATGGTACCTGCCTTTCTCTGTCTGACTTAATTCACTTAACATACTAGCTTCAAGGTTCATCCACGCTGTTGCAAATGGCAGTTTCATCTTTTTTTATGGCTTAGCATTATTCCATTGTATCACTAACAACAAACTAGCAGAATAGAAATCAACAATACAATCCTATTTACAATCACAACAAAAACAATAAAATACCTGGGAAGAAATTTAACCAAGGAAGTAAAAGACCTACTCACTGAAAACTATAAAACAATATTAAAAGAAATTGAAGACAACATAAAGAAATGGAAAGATGTTCCGTGCTCATGGATTGGAAGAACAAACATAGTTAAAATACCAATATTACCTAAAGCAATCTACACATTCAATGCAAGAACAATCAGAATCCCAATAACATTTTTCATGGAAATAGAAGAAAGAATCCTAGAATTTATATGGAACAACAAAAGACACTGAGTAGCCAAAGGAATCCTGAGAAAAAAGAACAAAGCTGGAGGTATCACACTCCCTGAATTCAAAATATACTACAAAGTTGTGGTAATCAAAACAGCAAGGTACTAGCATGAAAACAGATAGATACACAGATCAATGTAACAGAACTGAGAGCCCTGAAGTAAAGGCACACATCTATGGACAGCTTATTTTCAACACAAGAGCTAAGAACATACAGTGAAGAATGGAAAGTCTCTTCAATACATGGTGTTGGGAAAACTGGACAGCCACATGCAAAAGAATGAAAGTAGACCATTATCTTTCACCATACACAAAAATTAACTCAAAATAGATTAAAGAGTTGAATGTAAGACTTGAAACCATAAAACTCCTTGAAGAACATATAGGCAGTATGTTCTTACCATTGGTCTTAGCAGTATCTTTTTTAATATCATGTCATCTCAGGGAAGGGAAACAAAAGAAAAAGTCAACAAATGAGACTACATAAAACTAAAAAGCTTCTGCATGGCAAAACAAACCATTAATGAAATGAAAAGACAACCCACCACCTGGGAGAAAATATTTGCAAATCATATACCTGGTAAGGGGTTAATTTCCAAAATATATAAAGAACTCCTACATCTCAACAAGAAAAAAATGAACAACCTGATCAAAAAATGGTCAAAGAATATGAACAGACATTTTTCCAAAGAAGATACATAGATGGCCAACCGGTACATGAAAAGACATTCAACATCACTAATTATTAGGGAAATGCAAATCAAAACTACAATGAGATATCACCTCACGCCAGTCAGAAAGGCTATAATTAACAAGACAGGAAACAACAAGTGTTGGAGAGGATGTGGAGAGAAGGGAACTCTCATACACTGCTGGTGGGAGTGCAAACTGGTGCAGCCACTATGGAAAACAGTATGAAGACTTCTCAAAAAATTAAAAATAGAAGTACCATATGATCCAGCTATTCCATTTCTGGGTATTTATCCAAAGAATAAGGAAAACACTAATTCAAAAAGATATAGATACTTCTCTGTTCATTGCAGCATTGTTCACAATAGCCAAGGCTTGGAAGCAACCTTAAGTGCCCATCAACGGATGAATGGATAAAGAAGATGTGTTTTCTTCATTTTTGACAGTTGTATTATAATATGTCTTAGTTAAGCCCTCTTTGGACTGTTCCTTTATGGAGACCTATGAGCTTCCTGTACCTGCATGTCCATATTTTTCAACAGATTTGGGAAGTTTTCAGCCATTATATCTTTAAATAATCTTTCTGTCACTTTCTTTTACATTCTTTTACTTGTGGTAGTTTTATAATATAAATATTGTCTTTGCTTGATGGTGTCCCGTAATTCATGTAGGCTTTCTTTACTCTTTTTTCATTCTTTTTTTGCCTCTGACTGTATAATTTCAAAGGATACATCATCAAGTTCACATATTCTTCAGATTGATTGAGTCTGCTGTTGATGTCTTCTATTGCATTTTTCATTTCATTGAATGTATTCTTCAGATCCACGGTTTTTTTGGTTCTTTTTTTATGATTTCTTTCTCTGTTGAAACTCTCATTTTGTTCATGTATTGTTTTTCTAATTTTGTTGAGTTGTCTGTATTCTGCTGTAGCTCACTGAGCTTCCTTAAAACAATTATTTTGAATTGTTTGTCTGAAAAATCCATAGATCTCCATCTCTTTGGGGTCTGTTACCAGAAAATCATTGTGCTCCTTTGATGATGTCATGTTTCTTTGAGTCTTCATTTACTTGAAGTCTTGTGGTACTGTCTTTGCATTTGTGGAATTACCACATCCAGTCCTTACTGACTGGCTTCAAGAGATACCTGCACCTGTCAGTGTGCCTTGGGATTCTGAGGCTTTCTCAGACATTTTGAACAAAGTGCCAACTGTAGACTTCTTATTCCCTCTTAGAGGGAAATTATTAAGATTGCATGCCTTCTCTTGATTTCGCAAATCCAGCCTGGGTGCTAAGAGCCTCCAATTTGTTTTCCCTAGGGTAGTGCCCTGAAATGCTCAAGTTTGTGAAACTTTACCTAATTCTGCAGTCAGGCTGCCTTTCTGCGTTTGTTGCTAACCATCTGCAATGTCTTGCTATCACAGTATGTGGGAGTGTGCACTGGGAGCCAGCCACATGGGAGTGGGAAGGAGGTGTGGATGAGATGTAAAGAACATTGGGTGTGCCCTTGGGCCAGTTGGGAGGGGACTGCAGATGAGGCATCTTCAGGAGTTCATAGACAGGCTTCCTGATGGAGTCTGTATGGTTTGGTAGGAAAAACTGAGATGTGGTTAGTAGTAATTATTTGCTGTGCTCTGAGCCCTGGCTACTATGTTTCCAGCCTCTCCCAGTGCCTACACCTTGCTGATCACTTCAGTAATCTGAATGATGTAAGAAAGAATGGGTCTCTTGAACAGCATCCCACATGGCTGGGGAAGCCATGCACTCCCTCACATGCTCCCATTTCCCCCATTTCAGAAATCACAGGCTGCAAGGATCTCTCTTGTTGCTGACCCTTGCTGCCTTGGGGGATGAGTGATGTGGGTAAAGAGAAACTGTTCCTCTTACCCTTTTCAATGCATCTATTTTCAGAATTTTTTGCTCCAAAGGTGTGCTGGAACTTTTCTGCTGGACTCCTGGATTCCCACAAAGGTACTCTAGTCTTTCAGTGACTGCCTAAATCAACATTCTGTGGGGGCACAACAGTAGAAAACTCCTGTTCTGCCATCTTGATGGTGTAACTCTCAGATAAGTTTAAAATTTTTAAAAAATAGATTCAAGGTCACACAGCCAAGAAAAGGGAGAACCAAAATTAAATTACAAGTTTGTGTGACTCCAAAGTCTTTTTTTTATTCTACTGTGCTCCCTCTCAATTTTGAGAGAAGTAAAGGTTATAGGTTTAAGATAATCCTCCAACTTCTTTATTTACCCCACTTTTTAAAAATCAGCTTTAATGTGCTTGTACCTTGTGACTTTACCAAACTAGTCAATTAGTTCTAGCATTTTCACTGTTGTTAAACCGACCTTGCATTCCTTTGATAAATTCCACTTAGTCATATCATATAATTGTTTTAAGATGTTCCTGGTTTCATTTTTAAATTATTTCTGTTGAGGATTTTTGCACCTACATTCATGAGGGACATTGGTCTCTAGTTCTATTTTTGTGTTCCCTCCTCCTTTATTTTCTAGAAGAGTTTTTGAAGTATTTGACATTATTTCTTCATTAAATATTTGATAAAATTTATAGTGAAGTCATCTGAGTCTGGGTTTTCTTTGTGGGGAGATTTTTGAGTACTAAATCAATCTCATTACTTGCTATATGTCTATTCATATTTTCCTTTTTTTTGAGTCTGTTTTGTTTATTTCTGTCTCTCTAGGAATCTTTCCATTTATTTACGTTGTCTAACTTGTTTATATGATGTTGTTCCTATTATTAACTTGTAATCCCTTTAAGATGAAAACTGTACTCATGCCATATCTTTCTTTTTTGATTTTACTAATTTTTATTTTCTTGCTCCTTTTTTTTTGGTTAGTGTAGCTAAAAATTTGTGAAATTTGTTGATCTTTTCAAACCAACTTTTGGTTTCGTTGATTTTACCTATTTGTTTTAGTGTTTTCTATCTCACTGATTTCCACTTTAATCTTTATTGTTTCCTTCCTTTCTACTTGGTTTAGGTTTAGTTTGCTCTCCTTTTCCCCATTGCTATGGTGGAAACTTAGGGTATTGATTTTAAATCTTTCTTTTCATCAAATATACTCACCCAAAGATATAAATTTCCCTCTAAGCACTTCTTTAGTTGCATCCCATAAGTTTTGGTATGTTGTTCTTTTGTTTCTTTTCAGTTCAGAAGTTCCCTTTTGATATTTTCTTTGACCCATGAGTTATTTAGAAGTATATTGTTTAATTTCCAAACATTTTGGATTTTCAATTACTTTTGAGGCCAGCCAAAAGTTATAAAATAAGAATTGCATTATAGAGAAATCACCTGCTCTTATCAGAGTCCCAGCTTGGCTTTAGTCAAGCTAGTTTAGGTTCATGAGCTTCAATTTATTTATTTGAAAAATGAGATAATAATATAATTTTTATAATTGCTTGAGGATTAATGGACAATGAGCATAGCCCCTCATATGCCATACAGGTCTAACAGATGATGGCCATTATTGTTTCTCTTCTAATGGAACTTGCAGAATACTTCCCTTCATTTCGAAACTGATGAAGCTTGTATTAGTGTTCCAGTTTGATAACATGTTTTTCAGTTTATAAGTTGAGAAAAATATGCCATTTGTGAGTTGAATCCATGTATGTAAAGAAAGAAAATAGAAAGAACAGTACCTTGTAGCTGGAAAGCTTCCTTGACTGTCAAAGGAACCCAAAACAAGGGCCACTTTTTTTCCAGGGTGGCTTCATCTTCCTGCTTCTTTGCAAGTTTTTTATCTACAGCATGAGCTTCCTTCCTGGCTGCCTCAAACCTATAAAGAAATGAAAGGGAGCTACATAAAACACATAAGGTTGCCATCTTCCCAACTTTACTAAAGAACATGGATTGACACCTTGAAATTAATGTACTTGTCAAGAGCCTTATAAAGCTGACCCTTTGAGCCAGTGAGTCTCCATTTAGGAATTCAGCAAAAGTACAATAATCCAATATACTAACAAAAATACATACAGAAAGATGGTCAGTGCATCATTATTTATATTGGAAAAAATGTGAAAGCAACCTGTCACCAAATTAATTATTATAGCTATCTATTATGGACAACTGTATAGTCAATAATAGTGGTGTTTCCTAAAAGTTTTTACTGCATTTTGAAAATTCTTATGATGTAAAGTGATTTAATTTAAACACGAAGAGAAGATTACAATGTTATATTCCTAGTATAATCTCTATAATGTGAAAAAATGGACATGTATTTGTAAACAAACCAAATGTTAGCGGTGAATAATCACTATTTTGGTGCAAAGATTATGATTTTTTGTAATTTATTTTTGTTTTTATTTTGTCTTTTTCAGATGTTTTGTAATAAACACATATTACAGCAATGCTCAGAAACATACAATTAAATCAATACGCCTAAAATAACACAGTTGGAGTGTGTGTGGCAATACAATCACTAAATTATAAAATGCCAATGGAATTTCTCAATATCTCAAACAATAACTTTTCAAAAGAAGAATTTTAAATCCTCTAAATAAATTATCATGTGACTTAAAAAATAACTTTAATAAATTTGAGCTCACTGGAAGTAGCAATGATGTTTATTAATTACTTCAACAAATATTCAAAGTATTCAAACAAAAATAAGTATGATTAAAGTCTACATCTTCAAGATGAGCAAAAATTCTGGAGTTCTCATTTTCTACTTCTGTAATCTATGCAAGTTCTTTTATCTCACTGGGTTTCAGCTGCCTCAGTTGTAAATTTGGGATGTCTACATAGGAAGGGTGGCTGTGAGGATGCAATGAAACAATGGATGCAAAGTATTTTCGGGACTGCCTAAGGAGGATTTATCACTGTCAAGTTTATAAGACAATATGCCAGAAAAGGAAGAAACATGAGTTCTAGATTGTGCCAAGATAATAGATGATGATGATGATGATAGTTAACAATCATTGATATGTGCCAGGCACTGCTCTAAACACTATACAGTTGCTCAAACTTAACAATCATGTTAGGTAGGTGCCATTATTATGCACAATCTACACATGAGGAAAGTTAGACTCTGAGACGTTAAGAATTGTGCCCAGGATCACACAGCTAATAAATAACATAACCATAATTTTATATCAAGGTTTAGTTGGTTCTGAAGCCTAAGAACACAGACTCTAGACCTGACTTGTTCAATATTGTAGCAATAAGCCACATGTTTCTATTGAGTATTTGAAAAGTGACCAGTGAAATATGTTGAAATTATAATGTTTTTGACATAGCCAAACAATACATATTACTAAAATTAATTTGACCTGTTTCTTTTTATTTTTTTTAATTTGGTTATTAGCATATTCAAAATTACATGTGTGGTTCACATTTTATTTCTTTTGTACAGTAATGATCTACAGAAAGAATACATAGATTTTTATCCCAGCTCCACTCTTTACTGTGTCTCCTTAGGCATGTCACCTAAACTTTCTCTATTTCAGTTTCCTCATATGAATAACAAAACTAATAATATTTACCTCACAGGATTGTTAATATGATTTAACAAGTTAACACATTTGTAGACACTTACAGTAGTGCCTGGAACACTGAAGTACTGAAATGTTAACTAGTATTGATATTATTAATTCTTCTTATTAAAGAGAAAGGGAACCCCAAACAGACTTTGGTTGTACATAAAGAAAGTCAGAAGTATGTGAAGCTGGGGATTACCACTCTCCGTAAATAAAAGTGCTTTCAGTTACCAATTCAGAGAGATTTGAGAACCTAAGACCAGCATCTCCAATAGGCAGAAAACTGTAACCTCAGTAAAGCACCCACATTCCTAAGACTACTACTTTTTGAAAGCTTCTCTGGATGTGACGCCCTATACAAAGCAGAAACAGAAGAGCCTGTAGACTTGCATTTAGGGAAGGTCAGGAAAAAGGACCTCAAGTCACAATATCCAAGACTAGAAAAAGGAGGACCCAGATAGAGATGGACACTAGAAGGAGGCAACATCTAAAGGAAACATTTTGTGACTAGCAGGTGAAAATAACTCAGGAAACTGGTCTTGAACTAGAAGGACCCTTCAGATGGTAGTAAAAAGACCCAGGTGGAGTAACAAGCAGTTATGTGTGGGAGAGAGGCATTAGATGAAGCCAGAAAACTAAGGATTGCCAGACCATGAAGGGCCCTTACATGGAATGCATAGGAGGTGGAAGATTGAAATGGTTAAAGCAGGAAAGTGACATGATCTATTTTATGATTTAGACTCCCTTTGGCTTTTGCAAGGTAAAAAATATGGAAGGGGTCAAAACTGGAAGCATGAAGAATACTGCAGGCAAAATGATGGCAGTTGGAACCAATGTGTCTCCTGTTGGGATGGAGAAAAGTGGAGAGCTATTTAGATGATAGCATATATTGAGAGAGCTATTTAGAAGGGAGAATTAATAGAGAATGTTAGGAAATTAGAGTGTGAGAGGTGAAGAACTGGGAAAAATCAAGTTTATTTTTCAGTTTTCTGGCTTACATGACTTGGTAGATGATGGTACCATTCATTGAGACAAAAAATATAGAGAAAGAGGGAAGGTGATGGGTTCAATTTTAATTATTTCCATTTTTGTGGTGCCGACAGGACATCTAGTTGGAGATATCAAGTAGGCAGATGTATATAAGGGAATGGAGCTTAGAGGAAAGGTCTCGAAGTTATCATTCTACAAACAGTATTTGAAGTCATGGAAGATAGAGGCCAAATGTATTTATAATTATATGTATAAAATATAAATAAATATATGCATGAAATTCTAAAATCAAACTTTAAGGAAGAATAAAATGTATTTATATGTATAACAGGTAAATAATAAAATAACAGAAGAGAGCTATTCTAGAGGAGTGACATCAGCAAGATGACAGAGTAGGAGATACCAGCATTTATCATCCTACAAAAAACAACAGACAGCTATCTATGAAACAAAATAGCCCTAGGACAACTAAAGAGTCCAATTAAGAAACTACAGCAACACAGTGGAGAAAAAAAGACAATCAAGCAGAAAGGATTGCTGGAAAGACCAGCTTAGGGGAAACATCTGAAGACTGCTAAGAACAAAGAAGGGTAGAGGCTATCTGAATCAGCCATGCAGGGGATGCCATGGTGGTCCTCAATGGACTTCTCTGTAGAGGACTTCAGCAGACTTTTCCACTGAGAAAATCAATAACCCCCATCACAGCCATGGACTCCCTGAAGCTTTCACAGCAAGGAATCCCGTAGTGTTCGTCAGCACAGACTACAACAGATGCTCTGCAGGGGGCACAAGGAGCTTTTACCGCTGAGGTAATTAATAGCCATCAGCAACATGAACCCTCCATAGAGGGAAACACTGCTGTATCTTCCCCAAAAGAAAGCTGCTGTTGCACTGCCCTGGAAGCAGGGATGCCAGCTCCCCAACACCACGCACGCCTCAGACCTCAGAGCAATGGCTGCTCTGTGTGCACCTGCACTTCAGACACCAGCTCCACGGCCACTCTACACACATCCATGGTCCAGACCTCAACTCTGCAGCTACTTTGCAAGTGCCTGCATTCTAAACCCCAACTTCACAGCCTGATCTATGAGCATCCACATCTCAGGCACCAGAGACACCACTGGTCCAGGCTGGAGAAAGACCAGGACTTCAGAGGCACTGTCTGTCCACATTCACCCACACTTCAAAACCAGGCTCTATGGCTGCTCTGCATGCACCCACATGTCAAACACCAGAGTTACTGCTACGGCAGAGTGCCACTGTCACAGACTCCTGAAGCAGTATTTCTCTACAAGCATTCATGCTTGAGAATCTGACTCCGTGGTAGCTCCATGTGAGCACATGCAACAGGCACTGGAGCCACCACCACTGTGAGAGAGCCTGAGAGCTATGACCAGTGCCAAGAGGGATCCCTTCAGTAAGGGCATCTCTCATGAGACAAAAAGAAATCAGGATGGCCCCAGCAGCCCTCACCACCACTGCAGACATCTACAGCCTTAGCCACTGAGGATTCATGCAATCTTCACTGACACTGACCTCAGCTAACAAAACTGCACAGAGACTATGCCACAGGGATTTCCCTGGGGCCAAAACCTCCACACTCCATCCAGTTGGCTCCCACAAACCCAACAACAGATGAAGATCTTAATCCACGAAAACCAGCCTGTAAAGTCTGTAAGAGGTGATCGCACCATCAAATGTGCACATATCACCACCAGGCTAAAGAAATACAAAAAAAATCAAAGAAACAGGACATCAGCAAAAGAACAGAATAATTTTCCAGGAACTGACTGCATAGAAATGAAGATTCATGAATTATCTGAAAAGTAATTTATATAATTGTATTAAGGAAGCTCAGTGAGCTACAAGAGAGCACAGATAGGCAACTCAAGAAAATCAGGCAAAAATACTAGATAAGATCAATAAAAGCAAGAGCTGGTTTACTGAAAGATAACAATTTTTTCTTTTTTTTTTTGAGATGATTAAAAAAAAACATAGCCAGACTAAGAAAAACAAGAGACGACTCAAATAAGTAAATTCAGAAGTGAAAGAAGGGACATTACAACTGATAACACAGAAATACAAAGGATCATAGCAGACTAGTGTGAGCAACAATACAACAACTTAGGTGGCCCAGAAGAAATGGATAAATTCCTGGAAACAGGGGATGGTGTCAAGATGGTGGCATAGGCAGACTCTGAACTCACCTCCTTCCATGGACACAACAAATTTACAAATAATCCTGGAACAATTACCCCTAAGAGAGAACTTAAAACTGGATAAAAAGAAACCCCACAAAAAAAGGATGGTG